TGCTTTAGGGGTTTAGGGGACAGGGACGTGAAATGTCCCTGAAGGTACTGGGGGGAGCTGGAGCGGGAGCTGGGGGACCGCTGTGCTGGGAGGGATCACAGGTGGGGCAGGCGCAGGCACAGGCCACCCAAGGGTGGAGTGAGAGGTGGGGGAGCAGGGAGCTCAGCTGGGGGGCCCTGGGACGTGGGCTGTGGCTTCAGGGTTAGATTCAGTTCAGGTCGGATCTGGAAGGTGGACGGTTTCCTTTGCTCTTCTGTTTGCAATTGGTGAGCATATGGGGTTATAGAAACTAGGTAAAAAGAAATGTACATTCTTAACAATATCCCTGCTTAAGTGTTTTCTTTTAAATATTACCTTCAGGTGCCTACTCAGTTTCCTTAGACATTAGTTTCTTTATGCTGATTTCTAACTCTTGGGGATTAGAGACTGGAGGGAAGAGACCCACTATCCCCTTCTCCCCACATGCCCACAGTGAGATTAGATTACATTCTTGATATAAGAAGCCAAGGATATAAAATCCTACAGGAATCCTGGTGCCCTTTGGTGGGCCCTGGGGTCCCCCTGGGAGCAACAGCTGTCAGGGCCACCTCCTGCATGAAGAAGTCTGGTCTCACGCAGCCTGATTACATCAGCTGTTCACATCACTTCTGGGAGGCGCCCAGGCCAGTACCACAGGGGCTCACGTTCATAGCAGTGTTTCTGACCCAGCCTTTCCTGGTTCTTGGCCAGAACTTGACGTGATCGGGATGACTCTTACCCGCCAGGGGCGCCAAGGAGCCCCTGAGAGACGCAGGGACCCTGGAGTCCAGCAGGACCTCTCTCCCTACCATTTGTGCCGAGGAAAGTGTCAGGCCCTGTGTTTTATTTGATAGACTTTCTCGTGGTTAGAACACTGCTCTGTTCTGATTTGCGTGGTGCGTGGTGTGATGAGTTGGAGAGAATTTTCTTTTTGCAGAAACTACAGAGGATGAAGGTCACTTTCTATGTTTTCAAAGTGATTTTAGTGACAGGGAAAGCTTGTGGCATATTAAGTGAAGAGGAAATGAAATTTCATGTACAGGATGATCTTAACTATGTTAAAATACACAAACACACCCCACCCACAGTTGTAAACTGTGGGTATTTCTTGATGGCAAAACCACGAATGATACTTTTTTTCCCCTTCCTTATGCTTTTCTGTTTTTTTTGTTGGTTGTTGTGTTTTAGAGGAAGGGGTTTAGAGTCTACTCAGTTTCTCTTATTTTTTTCTTCATAACATAGAGTTGTATAATTTCCCCTTAATTTTCTTTGACGGGTGTTTTGAGAATAGTCACTGGTCTCAGAAGGAAGGCATTTCATTAGAATAAATACACCCATGGCAGAAATAAATGTACTTAATGAAGTTAAGAACAAAGCATTAGAATTATGTTTTCAGAAGCAGCCTGACTCTCTTAATTCTTATAGTAATCTTATTAAAGTATGTACGATCAAAGCAATATGTTTTAACCCAATATTTTTAATTTTTAAAGCAAATATTCTTATTCCAAGAGTATACATAGTCATTGTAAATAATAAATGTAAATGTAAAAACTAATGTAAGTACACATAAGCAAGAAAGGAAAATAAATGTCACCCATAATTCCATGGCCTAAGAGGAAAAAAAAAGACAACACTCTTTATATTTGGGTTTATATGCTTCTAATCTTTTTTCCCCTTTCCCTAGACCTTTGTATACATATATTGAAAACAAACCAAACTAAAAATGACATCTGATAACCTGATTTACAGGACAAGGAAAAAAGTACCACCAAGGGGAAACTCGCATTTTTCAGTCTGTTCTCTCTTACACGTATTCAAGGTCATTTGTAGAATGATCTGTTTACTTAGCTCCAGCCTCACTCCAAGCTTTCCAGAAGAGTGGGACCAGACATCTGGACATGTTGGATTGCAGCTCATTTCATTGCATCTGCTGGGAGAAAATGCTATGAGAATACAGTGTTCGTTTGTGTCCCCTGTGTGTGTCTCCAGCCTCATTCCTTTTTGTCTGGGCAGGTTTGCAGGACCCCCACGTTCTCCCTTTTGGTCCCCCTTTAGGGCACATGTTTGCCACTCCTGCAGGCTCTGACATAGGGACCTCGAGGTACCAGGAGAAAGGGCCAAGGTTTCAAAATCATTTTAGCTCATGATACAAATGTCCCCAAACGCAACACATAACTCTCAGGCATCTTGGCCGTCACGAAGTTTTGTTGGCCTCGTCTGTCTAGCTGTTACACAGAAAAACCATCCTGGTCTCCAAACCCTTCTCTTCCCCATGTCAGGGCCTCTTGAAAAATATCTTTCCTGACAGCCCTGTTCACACATAATTTCCCTTGCCTGGTCTCCCGGATGTCCTCACAGCTCTTTTCCCAGCTATGAGTAAGCTCGGGTTCCCCCAGGGCCACTGCAGACGATATATTTTTTGTTGCTTCTTTGAGGATTTGCTTTGTCATATAATTGGCCTTCTCTACAAGTACCCACACTTTGACTCTTTATACAAAATAACAAAAAAAATAGGAAAAGCATAAGGAAGAAAGAAAAAGTGTCACTCATGATTCTGCCACCAAGAGATAAGCACAGTTTACAATTTTGTGGGGGGTGTGTGTTTCTGTATATTTATTTTAACACAGTTCAGATATAAATTTTTTTCTTTCCCATGTTTCACTTAATGCATGATAAGCATTTCCTCAGTCACGAACATTATTCACAAACTTTTTCAATGACTAGATAATAATTCTTTTTATGGGTTTGCTACCAAATGCTGAGTTGTTTGTTTAATGTTAGAAGATAGTCTAAATGTCTACTTTTCATATAATGTGGCCATGATCAGTAGGTGTAGAGACATAGGGCGTGTGCTGTATTCTCCATAAATGTCAGCTGTTACTGCCTTTGTAAGTGGTCATTTCAGTGCAACTGTCCGCACATCAGCAGAAGCTGTGGTTGCAGTTATCCCTGGGTCAGGAGAAGCTGTTACTCAGGCTCTGGTCAGAGGATGGAAGCTTTCCCAGGGCCCGCTCACGGCCGAGGGAGGACTTCTTCCGGGGCATAGTTTCAAAGCCTTCACGAGCCATGTGTTACAAGCTCCACATCTCAAAAGGCTTGATCAATCCTGTGTTTTCTCACTGAGTGCGTGGAGTTGAGAACTGGAAAGAAGCCCTTCTCTTGAATTTGCTGCATCGGGTGGTCTGGCCCTTTTGTGGCACATGGCAGTTATTGACTCTGAATTATAATTCTCCTCCTGTCCCTCGGGCAGTCTCCAAGAACTCCCTTCTTCCCCGATAACCAGAAAGCACCACTCTTATGCCAGGGAGAGATTCTCTTTGTTGGCATGTGACGGAAATGTGTGGTAAGACCATTTTGAAGTAATCACATGGAGAGAGGACTGAAAGAATGCTGTGTGGGGCGATTAGACTGGTGAGAACCCTTAGCTGGATCGGAGGGGCAGGGGTGTGGTAAAGGGGGAGCAACAGACTGAGTAAAACCAGAGTCAAAAGGAGAAAACCACCAAGAAAGGATAAGAAAGAAACAGAAGTGGAAGGTGAATGCAAATGTAGCTACTGACCTTTCAGAGCCTCCCCCTCCTGCCCACTTCTCTTACCCTCCGGCCCAAGTGGTGCCTTTTATATGCTCTTTAAAACATTCGTTAAAACATTTGTTCATTGAAGATATTGTGCACACCCCAAAACCTCCTCCTGAGTGTCTGTCAAATATGGACAAGGAAGCTGACCTAGAACAATTAACCAGTTGAGTTCCAAATACACATGATCTCTATGGAGTGACATAGAATTGATGTTTGAAATAAAATCATGTGTCACAACACAGAGCAACGGGCTCTCCAAACACCGGGGACAGTACAAACAAATGCTCACTGTGGGTCCCACTGGTCCCATTGGGTGTGCGGGCCCCTGCCCCCTCTGTCTTGCCTCTGAGTTCTTCCCTTAGACATTCAGAGCAATTGCTTGCACAGTATTCTCAGAGGTTGGACCTGTTGTGGTGTTGACTGGCTTTGATGCTTTTTGTCACAGACCTTTTCATCATTTGGTCTAATTTCTCTAAATGAATTCCTCATTTCCTGGTTGTTCATACCTCCTTTAAAACAGATAAAATACCTTTAGATGGAGAACAGACCAATGCCAAATTTTGTTATGAAAATAAGTAATATTTAATTTTCTATAAAAACATCTTCGAGATACCCCAAAGTGTGAAATTCTACTTGGGTCTCATAAGTATTTGACTTAAAGATATTTTGAAATGATGGACTCATTGGAATTTGTTAAATTTACTAAATGATGGGTTTTATGATTTATTTTTATCTAACTTTAGATTTTGATGTACAGATGAAAATACAGGAACCTTGTATTTCTATAAAATGCATAGAGACTATTATCTTTACCAGTTGTTGGTTCCTAGCAGTATTAAATATGCATCTGTCTGGTAATTCTATCCATTTGTCTTTAGTAAATATATGTGTTGGATATAATACTTTTGTTTAAAACTGTGAGTAGCATGTAGAATACCATGTATGCAATTTTTTTGAATTATTTAAATGGAAATAATGGGATGTTTTGATGTATTGTCATTTATGTTGCTGCTTCTTATTATGTTTCATTCCTGTTTATATGGGTTATGAAGTTAGGCCAGTTCTGTGTACAAAATTATCTTAGTCCCATTTCTCCGTGCCTTACTTAAGACCACAGAAATATATATATCAGGGCTCCAACACAGAGATGCCGATTCAGACGTGTGATACATAACTTTTACGTATAAAAGCACCAGAAATGTTCCATGTCCTGTGAGGTTTGGCACAGACTTTTAAAACCACCAACCAAACTTTTTTTGGCGACTCAGTCTTGCCCAGTGCATCTCTGTAAGGCCCTCCCTTCCCTGGCGGGTGCCCCTTCCAGGCTTACTGCAGGGACCCCTGATTTGTCCTCGGATCCTGCGCTCGGTTTGTGACCCTGCTTTTGTCTCTCACTCATCTGCAGAGCCCGGCGTTTGCACGGTTTTCGGAGATCCCCACTACAACACTTTTGACGGACGGACATTTAACTTTCAGGGGACGTGTCAGTACGTTTTGACAAAAGACTGCTCCTCCCCTGCCTCGCCCTTTCAGGTGCTGGTGAAGAACGATGCACGCAGGACCCGCTCCTTCTCCTGGACCAAGTCGGTGGAGCTGGTGCTGGGTGCCAGCACCATCAGCCTCCAGCAGCACCTGACTGTGCGCTGGAATGGCTCACGCATCGCACTGCCCTGGCAGGCGCCGCACTTTCACATCGACCTGGACGGCTACCTCCTGAAAGTGACAACCAAAGCAGGTGGGCTTCCAGAAGCACGGGCATCTGTGTCCCTCCGCCTCACCAACCCACACAGCAGCAGCACCTGAGTGCAGTGGACCATGGTCATCCTCCTCTGCTCTTCCTCCGCACAGGGGACCTGGGAGACAGAGAAGGGTCCCAGCTGCAGGCAGGAAGATCTTGAAGATGCCCCCACATAGCTGGAGAAGTTCGCACACTCTGCCTTGCCCTCCTATGCCAGTCCCGCCAGTCTTGCATGCCAACAGCCAGGGCCTTTCCATCCTCCTTCCGAAAATAGCAGTGGGGCTGTCCACCTAACCTCTCTCTGATGTTTTGTTGCTAATTTTAGGCCAGCAGTGGCCAACTTGGAATTGTCAGTGTCTCTCCCAACTCAGCCAGTAACGTGCAGTTTCACATCTGTGAGACTGCTTCCTTGTCAGCATCTGTCCAAGGGAGGGGGATTCCTCCAAAGTAAACCACAAGTGTGTGTGGGTGTGCAGCAGGTGGACTGTGTGACCTGCAGCTTTGTCTGTTCTTGACCCTGGGAAGCATGCGGCTGAGCTGGTGGCTGGAACCACTGGTAGCTGCTGGAGGACCCTTGGGACTCTTGCTCTGAGCCCTTGCCTGGGCCGTGGGCACTCGGGGCCGACCTCTGAGGCCCTTTCTCAGAAGCCCATGTTGCCTGAGGCCAGCTTTCCACTCCCCCGGCAGCCGCCTCCTTCAGCAGCCACACTGGTCATGGTTGGCAGGTCATTCCTGGGGGTTCAGTGAGGTAGACATTTTTGCCTATGAGGTGCTACCTAAGAGAGGCATCTTAGAAGCAGAACTCAGTTCTTCAATATTAGCCCCAAAGTATGAATTCAGCTTGTTTACATGTTTCATGTGTCATGTATGGGTCCCTTCATGCTTCCTTTGGTTAGTATGTACTGTTAACTGGCTTTGGGACTGTGTGATTTCCTGGTTGGTGCTTTTTCTTTAAGTACAGCACTTGAAGAAATCCAGGTATGTCTTGCTTTTTACACTGATGAGAATTTAACAATGTACAAGCATCAGTTGGGGCCCAGTTCCTCCAGGCAACATGGTTCCTGGGAAGTGTTTGACCGAGCAGACACTTTTGAGGGGTTATAGAGACTGTTCTGTACCTCCCAAACCCTGCGAACTGTTTCAATTCAAGCCAAATATATATTTGATGAATTGAGTTGGCCTATGGAATGCCAGCTTAGCTAAACAAGGCAGGAAGCCAAGGAGAAGCCTGGGGAGCTTTTATTCAGCAAGGGTAACATGGTTTCAGTAACAGGATGTTAAATATTGATGTCTTACAACATTCAACAAGGGGGGGAAGATTCCCATTCTGGACTTTGAGTGTGGCAGGCATGAAGAGCTCTAATCATTCGACTTCAGAGGGATTAGTCCTGCTCGGAAAGCTTAGACACCTGTTGTCACATTCAAATGACAGGGCAGTCGGCACAGACAGGCCTCAGCTGATTCCTTCAAGGAGGCGACAGTTTATGGCTCCCGTAAAATGTGCCTAAGATGAGGCATCATTACACGGCACTAATTAGAAGCATCTTGCCTATCTGTTATGGAGCCAGCTGGACACAGTGGATTCTGCCGATATGGAAATTATTAGTCAACCACAGTCCCCATTCTCAAAGGGATCCTGGATACTGGAAGATTGGTTCAAAGTCTAGGAGGTTCCCTACCCCTTCCTCTCACAGCCGCAGTACCTAATGGGATGAGCGTACTCTTTGTAAGGATTCCACTTGTAAAACTGAGCAGCAGGATGAGGCCGCTAAAGAAATAGTAATATATCATACGTACCACAATTAGATTAGTGAGTTTAACACTTACAGGCCTTGAACTTAGTTTTACAGCCTTTTGTTTTCCCATCTCTCTTCCGATGATTCAAGTAATTTATGTGGCTCCCCCCATGCTCAGCGGAGCAACTTCCTGGAGCCGTGGAGCACATACGCGCTCAGCTTCCTAGGGAAGAACCACATTCCTCTGAGCACCAAAACGTGCTTCAACACTGTCCTTTGAAGGGAACAGTTGCATTTCCAGACCATAGTCATTTCCACTCTGGCCCACCAACCCCAGTTGGTACTGCCCCCTAGGGGTAGTTTCTTGTTATCACCCATCGACTGTCTATTTAAAAGTCTTTGAGGGTTCTTCGTCCATAGGTTTTTTCCTTCTTTTTCATTTCTTAATCTTGTATTATCCAAGGGTATTTTCTCCAGAATAGCTGCTTAGATCAAACCTGTAGCTGGTGGATGGGAAGTGGCAAGGAATGACTTTGCCCCTGGGGTCCGTGGACTTGGCACTTCCTGATGGAATCACCTGCAGGGGGGCACAGGTGGCCTGTCCCTGGGGGGGAATCAGGAGGTAGCTGTTTACTTAATAACATCCGGGTAGTACAGAGGGCACAGAGCAAAGCTTAGCAGCTGGAGAAAGCCCTGCCCACCCCCAGACACTCCGCCCCACTCGCAGCACTTGGTGAATAATTTAAACGCACTGTCTTCCTGCCATCTGCTCACTTCATCAGACCCACCTGAAAAGTTACATCAGCCCCCACCGGAGAGGCATTAACACATGTGAGTGCGGCTTTTTATCTTACTTTCTTCCAGGTTCGTCAAGACTTCTACACTTGATGAACCTGGAGAATATATGTCTTTTTTTCCTTTGATGTAAACTCTGAACAGAAAACCACCCATTTTTAAGCAACTCTGCAGTATGTGTATGGATTTTGTGCCTCTTCTCACCTTTCGGTGGACAACAAAAGCAACAGCGACAACCCCCAAACAAAACAAAGCAGAACAAACCAAAACAACCAACAAAGAAAAGAACATCTCCTTCTCCTTCCCCCAAGAAAAACCTCCAAACTAGGGGTCTGGAGCCAGGTCACACAGCTGAAGGGTGAAGAACGGGTTTGTGAAACCCTCCCTGGTGAGAAGGGAGGATTGGAAGGCTCCTCCTGCAGTGGAAGGAGCACGGCTACTGCTCTTCCCCAGATGGGACTTGAACTTCACTTCAGCCCTCTGGCTCTGCCGGTTATGCTGATCCCAGGCCCTGTTCAGCCAGGTGGAAAACCCACCGCAGCTGCAGACAGGACTCAGTCCGGCCCATGCTTCCTTCAGATGCCTATTTAAAATATCTTTTGGAAGAGTAAATCCTTTAGTTACAACTTACTAGTTTTTTTGGGGGGGGTGGGTTTTACCTATCGCTGCTATAGTCTTCATTGATTTTACTCAAGTAGAGGGTCTAAAAAATCATGCAAACATATACATATATGATGCAACAATAGTCAAAGGCATCCGTAGTTGAATAATTTATTCTTTCAAAATATGAAACCTAGCATTGGTCCATGAAAATCATCTTAATATAATAATAACAAAGAAAAGATGAGGAAAAGGGGGTGAATTACAAATTATTCTCTTACTTTGGGGACCCTGTTTCATGAATGAGATGTCAAGAGTTTTAAGAAGAGTTTACTGAGAGCACAGTGGGTCTGCACCTCCCTGGGTGTGCAGGGACCACCTGTCCGTTGCAAAGAGAGGTCGTGATGATTGGCTTGCTCGGTGTGAGTTGAGTTCCCCCAAATTTGGCAGCCCAAGTCTCAAATTTATTATATCATTGTCAGTAATGATGTCGGAGGCTGTTTTGGGGAGAAATCTTCAACCATTGTGGCACTTGGAAGAATAATATTTGCCTGCTGTCTAGGAAAGGGATTTGTAGTTTGGAGAATTTTGCAGCACAGAAAAATCTTTGGAACAGTACTCTAAAAGAATGTGGATGAAATTGATTTTTCCCTCTCATTTCTCTTGCTGGGCAGCTGCCTGGCTACAGGCTTGGAAGGTCAAGTTTCTTCTATACCTTAGAGAGTATATTACAAATCATATTATAGTTCACTTGTCTTTTTTCAAAATTGTTATTGCAATGCCTTAACTAGCATGAAATTCACAGTTTCCTTGGCTTCAAGTGACGTATCAATTTACAGGGTAATGAATTCATTTAGTGCATATATACTACGTGCTAGATAATATGTTGGGTGATGGGGTAGAAAGAAATAGAAAGCATTTTATATGACAGCTGTGGTTGTCAGAGTTGACGGTTGTCAGACTTGGCTCTCTTACAGAGCCATGTGGGGGTCTGCTCGGCGTGTGCACATTCTAGCTGTGACCTTTCCCTAAGCACCTGGTCTCATCTCTGTCTTCTCTTCATCAAATTACACCCAAGAGACACTTTCTTATGACCATGTTTCTTGCTTCTTTACCCAACTCTATTTAATTGCTTTTCTGAACCTAGTTTTTTGTCCCAACCAGGAAGCTTCTCCACCAGTTGTCTTGACCTAAGAATGTGTCCATTCCTTTAATTTACCAAGCAGTGAGTTCCTTGTGGGCTTTTCTGGAGAAAACCAGTTTTAGACCACTGGCTGAGTCTACTGATAGCTCTGCCTAAAGATGATCTGCAACTCTTCCTTGTGGCGGTTGTGTGGCCTGCTCACAGGGATGCCTCCTCCCTCCTGGACCACGTCCAGACTTAGGGAAAAGTGCCTTTGGAATCTCACTTCTGGGCATTTCTTACTGATCTCACATCACTCTCATGTCGCCTTATGCCAATTTTATAACCAAGCAAGATCCACTCCCTTCTCATTCTCTCCCTCTCTGTTCCCATCACTACCTTACCCCCAACTTACGAGCATCTTCTGAACATTTGCTCATCAGCTTAGTTTTATACTTTAAGAACAAAGGCAGTGTCTTCCAGGAGTAGAGTCATGTTGTTCTTTCCAGAGGTTCAGAATGGGAAAGACTAGTTTTTGTCAAAAACCCAAGAGAGTAAGGTTAAAAAACACCCTTGGGGAAACTTTTTTTCCTATTAAAAAGAGCTGCTTTTTGTGTATGTTGTCACTCTTAGGAGACCGTGACAGTGAATAAGGAGCAGTCCTAAGGCAAACATGCACACTGACCCCCTGGAAATGTCCCTGGGTGTCTCTGCCCCAAGTGGCTCTTTTTTCATTCACTGGGTCCCGGGTCATCCATTCATTGGGGACTCAGGCGCTGCCAGAGTGTTACTGGGAGAACAACAAGAAACACTTCTAACAGGCATTTGGGACAGAGAAAAACTCTTTGACTAGAAGAACTTGACACTGACTTTGACTTGAACCTCAAAAGGCTTTCATCAAGACCTTTCTCTTATGGACAAGTGTCTCTACATACAAGGCCAGGAAGGGTATGAGGGCATTTCTTCTTGACCTTCCAGTCACGCTGATCTGTGTGTGTGACCTGTAGCAGTCCCACCTGTGACGGCATAATCTGGATGTTCTGTGTGTTGCAAAAAGGCCCCCATTCATTGAGGTCATTGGTTGCCATGGCTCTTGGAAGCCTCGGGGGAATACGAATATTCTCGGAAAAAGCATTCAATCTTTTAGATGGTCAGTGGGGCAAACCAAGAAGGCCTTCCATTCTATACCTTCCAGAGTGAAGATGTTTCTGTGGTAAACAAGACTGTTCTGTGCTGCTGGTTCTGCTCAGCATGGGGGGGAGGTTTGCCCAGGGCCTGGTGGCCTCTGAAACCTCCAACGCTGAAGCCGTTTTCTTTCATGTGAGGGTTGTCCTTTGAAGACAACGCATGCAGAAGCAATATACCTATTCCGTAACAGCCACTACAGCAGAAACTGTGACATTTTTCATTTGATATTTGGTGTGATCATATAGGGGATTTGGGGATAGAGAAAAAAATTACATAAAAACTGTCATCTTTGTCATCTTTGTATCTTCCCATTAGAGTAATCAATCGCTGGACAAAGGAAATCATGATTTGGACCAACACAGTTACTCTCAAAAAGGGCAAAAATATATGCCCTAGAATAAAATGGCCAATAAGTGTTTATTTACAAGTCACGTGGGGATGCAGAAGATATTGTTATTAGGGCAAATTTTATACACTTTAAACATTCTAGGTCCTAACAAGTAAAGGATTTGTGTAATTTCACATGTTTACTTTGGCACAAGTAAAAGGTAACCAAGGACTCAGAGCAACCCTTAGTGTTCCTTGTGACAAGAAAGTCATGTAATGTGTAAGGATGTGCACACTTGGGAATCCTTTGAGGGTTCAAGAGTGGTTGATCCCCTTCTCCTTTTCCTCTAGGTTTGGAAATATCCTGGGATGGAGACAGTTTTGTGGAAGTCATGGCTGCCCCCCATCTCAAGGGCAAACTCTGTGGTCTCTGTGGCAACTATAATGGGCATAAGCGTGACGACTTAATCGGTGGAGATGGGAACTTCAAGTTCGATGTGGATGACTTTGCCGAGTCCTGGAGGGTGGAGTCCAATGAGTTCTGCAGCAGACCCCGGAGAAAACCGGTGCCCGAGCTGTGCCAGGGGGCAGTGAAGGTGAAGCTCCGAGCCCACCGAGAATGCCAGAAACTCAAATCCTGGGAGTTTCAGACCTGCCACTCAACGGTGGACTATGCGACTTTCTACCGGTAAGTGCGGGGTTCTGGGGGATGAGATTGGGTTAGAGCAAGGACAGACTCAGCCCTGACACACGGTGTATCGCATCTCTCGGTGTATAAAACAAGAGCTCCCGAGTCTGGGGTAAAACTTCTATGTCTTTCTGTTCAGCAGGTGGTCTCATGTGAAGTCAGTCACACATTGTATCCCAAATCAGGAAATTTCAGGGAATAGTTCAGAGCAATACCCTATAGGTGATGCTGGTTTTGAGTATCTGCAGATTCACTAGGAAGCAGGTGGCACCCAGGATTTTACCAGGTGTTAGCTCGACTCAAAGATGGATGAGTGCTCCCCAAATTCTGGTCTAAGCCATAGTGGTATAGGGCAGAGGTCAAAATCTCAAATCATTCTGGCTGCCTGTGGGCATGGGGGTGAACTTGGTTATTCTAAGTCTGAGGAAGAGTTCAGGTCTGCCTCCCTCTTAAGACCAAAACAGAGCTGCTCGTGGAAGGCAAGGCTGCGAAGTGGCGATTCCTTGGATCTTTGATGCGACCTGAGAGTTTGTGTGCAGAGTCGGAGGAGGGTGGAATCAGAGCTTGAGAGTAAAGCAGGGAACATCTCTCATTAAGAGTAGAAATTCCATAAGGTTTTCTAATTCTGCTTAACCCCCTTCCCCACAAAGCGATCGGTTATAGAGGGGACTTAGATTTGACTTCCACATTACAAGGTCACGTTGGTGAGTTTGACCTGGCCACACTTCCACTTATTGCAGAGTCCCACATCTTCGAGAGCTATGGCTTCTGGGACTCCATCCACCACGGGTGTGGGCAGAAACGTGAACTGAACACAGCCTAAAAGGCCTTAAGTGATTTGCCTGTGCCTCTTAAACTGAGTGAGCGCCTGTGGTCTGAACCCACAGAGAAGTTATTTTTACTCTTTAATTGCCCCCAGTTTATTTCCCCTAGTTCTCATTAAATGTGATCTTTTTTATTTGATCTTTGGACATAAAAGATAAAGTTCTATAAAGGCTGCTTGGAGTGGGGTGGAAAAAGGACTGTCCCTGTCATCACAGACCCCCAAACACTGCTGCGGCTGCCAAACCATTTGGCTCCAACACATACGTTCATCTCCTTCAATCCATTTTCCTGTTATAATTTGAATCCTCTGGGTTCCCCTTCTTTCTCCTCCCTGTGCACGCACCCCCCCCCCCTTTAATCGACCCCACCTCTTGTCTAGTGCCATGGAAAGATCTTAATGTAAGACTTTGGAGTGAGGTAAGCATCTGGACCGGCAAACCTGGTTTTATTTGGAACCTAATGCCCTTCACTTGAAGGTCTGCTGGGAAGCGGTGGAGCATGCTGATGAAGGACTTCCTGGTCTCCCAGGGTGAAGCATCCAGCCCAGCTCTATAACCTTGAGCAGCCATCTCAGCTCTGTAACCTTAGTTTTCTTATCTGGAAAGTGGGGATAGAAAGAGCAGCTACCTTGAGAAGTTCCCATTCAGGTTCAGCGCGATGATGAACTAGATGTGTAAGCTCGACCCAGTGCCCACCCACAGTGCCTGCTCTCTCACGGTGGGCTGCTGTTGTCTTTTCCGGTTATTAAATGAGGAACCGGTGTAAGAGCTCTTCGGTAGCTCCCCTACCTTGTTGCAGACTTCAATCAGGCCCTGGTCCATCTGAAACAGAGAGGAAAGGCCACGCTGCTTCTCCCAGGGCCCCAGCAGTCCACACTGTTGGTCCTTATCCCGTTTCAGAGGAATGTGTTGAAAACAACAATTGGAAAGGAGGCCCACAGAGATTAGTCCTTTTCTTTCTTCCACATTTCTATTTGTTCCCCTCTGGTGATTTATTTTGTATTAGGATCCCTGGCGTGTGAACAGGAATATGATGAGCACCTTGGCAGAAGTCGTGAGAAATAACTTTGACATGAACAGAGAGAATTGGAACGGCTAGGTGGCCAGGCAGATGCTCACCTTTGGCCTTTGAAAGGGGTGATGGCAGCCACAGCGGCACAGCAGGGGGCACTAGGTTGTGTGAGGGGCCTGGTGCATCAAGTTTGCGTGCTGACGAGAACGCTCTTGGGATCCTTGCTCACTGAGGTGGGAGAGTGGGGCAAGGCAGGAGATGCGCCCGCGTCTGCCGTGCAGGGCGTAGTGGCTGAGCACCCCACCACGGTCGGCCACTCCGTCCTGGAAGAGGCAGGAATGTGTTGAAGATGATTCTCAAGAGGGTAGAATTGGACAGTCCCACCTGTTGCCATCCTTGCTGAGGGTCTCACACCCCAGCCAAGAGATGCGTCTTCATGCATTTTCAAGTGAAGGTGTGGCCACTGTCCGGCAGATCCTGAGTTTCTTCTTCTAAGCACGCAAGTGGCAAAGGAAAGACAACAAACAGGGCCAGCCTGGGGAGGCAGTTCTGTTCTCAGGGTATCTCCGGGAGAGACAGAACCTTAGGGGGGCTTTAGGAAGCAACATGGCATGTTGGCTGACACCCAGCTGGGTCTCGTCTCAGCTCTGGGGCCACCTAGCTGTGTGGCCGGGACAGCTGGCTGAGTTTCAGGCCCTTCACCTGTAGAAAAGGCAAGGCAGTGACTACCCAGTGACAACATGCTCCTCTGAGGACTGAGGCCAACGGGCCGTGCGGTGCTGTCACATGATGGCTGGGAGGTCCTGGCACCATGTGGTGGTGTCCAATGTCAAAGGCACTCCCCACTGCCGGCTCAGGCCACCCTGGCCAGGCCAGACCAGCATTGGGTAGCTTGGGGACAGAGAGAAGCGAGGAGATGGGCTGGGCTTTGTGAACATACCAGAGAAAGAGAAGATCTCAGATATTTGGGGCTGATGTATAAGACATTGGCCATGTGCTTTTTCCCTAACTCAGACTGAGATCTCAGATGAAGTGGTCGCACGTAAGTGTAACCCGTCAGCAAAGCAGGACTCCTAGGTCAGGGCAGGCCCAGATTTCAGAGAAGTCCGAAAGCTGAGTGGGAACTGCTGCGGAGCCCAGGCTTGCTCAGGCCACATGCATGTGGGGGCCGTTTTCCTCTCCCCACGCCCCTGAGTGGGGCATAATTCCCTGTGCCAGAGCACTGTTCACTTGTTGGGGTTGGGGAAAGTGTCTGGGGATCCCTGGGCTAGGAAATGTCATCTCTATTCATGCAGTGTTTTTTGCAGCTGTAAGTAATCGAAGGGATACAGGAGAATTCGCAGGCTTGTCCTTCCCGCAGAGGTGCTGGGGGGGGGGCAGGTGGCGCTCGGTGCAGGCGCGCATCAGAACTCTGCGAGCACTAGGGTGCGGGTCAGTACGCTCGCATCCCGGGCGGCCGCGGCCTCCTGCCAGGGGAAGGCCGCAGACTTGGTGGATAATCCACTTTGTGTTTTCCTTTCAGGGACACCAGTCATTTATTATAAAGCAAAAGGAGAGATCCAGACTGTGCGTGTGAAAATTATATAAAGATAACTACTATTTTATAACTGAAAACAAGTCAATCTTTCCTTGCTTCAAAGAACATACTGGGAACATTTATGTTTATATCTTTTAATGCTTGTCCCAATTCGCCATTAGGGTTGGGGTCTTAAATCAAGTGTGTAATGTTATAGGCCTGCCTTTTTACTTTTCCTTTGGCACACTCAGCTTCCAGGATGAGTAGTCACGCTGAATCTATAAGGTATGCAGTCACCAGCAGGGGGCGGTAGATACCTCAGTGGTACCACCTGTCAGATGTTAGCCCCTTACAGGTCCGGCCTTAAATTTCAAAGTGTCTTCCCTACTCACAGGCGTGTTCTCTCTCTCTCTCTCATAGGGCAGAAGCCCTATATTATTGCTGTCACTGTATCTGCATAATGCAGATTTATGTCTCTGGGTCCATGTCATGGCCCTGCCTGAGAAGCCTTCATTTTCTCCATGGATTGAGATCCTAGGCCTCTGTAACAGTACTTTTTTGCAACATGTGGATAGTGTTTATCATTATTTGGCGGGCATGCTACTTTGCACTCCCTCCCCAGGACTGGACTTTAGGTTCCCTGGGGAGTGGGGAACGTCCTTTCTACCCTTGTGTGTTTCACCAGCATCAGCCTGGAAGGCTGGCTCTCAGGAAGTGCTTCTTATCTCACTCTCCAGCCTCTGTCCCCTCTTCATCCTCTCTGATGCCTTTGAGACTCTTGCTTCCCCCAGTTCCAAGTCCGTCCTCTGTGTCTGTTCCCACACTCAGTCACCCCTTAGCATCAGGAGTGCTCCCAGCTCTGCGCTTTCTGGGAAATGACCAGCCAGAGCAGAGCCCCTGGTCCCTCTTTGTCGGACCTCCAAGACCTGCTGTGACTTCTCACTGTGGAGTCTGTCTACTGCTGGGACCGCCAGCGGCAGTCACACCTCAGCGCCTGCCTCTGCCGGCTCCCAGCTCTCTTACGAACCACGTGGACATCCCAGGTCCTCTCTGTCCCTCAGCTCGTGCTTGACCTTGCCCTCTCTGGAGGCAGTATTTGGTGCATGGGTGTTTCTACACTGGACTCTTGCAGTTGATCTTTGGGCCTCAAAGGAACCTCCTCTCACAGAGTAGACTGCCCTCCGGCAGGCTGGCCCTGCGTCCCGGCCCCACACGTCACCCCCGCTGGGCAGTCACAGCCCTTCTGCTTTGGCTCTGCCCCAAGCCTTCTGCCAGGTTGTAGCCCAAACCTTGTGGTTTCCCTTGCACCTTCCATTCATCTTCTTCACCTCAGTCACACGGCAGGTTCTTCTGGGTTTGATCCCCCAAAGTAACAGAGGAGGAAGGCCTTCTAGCCTTCTATCTTCCTGGATTTCCACTCAGAGGGGCCCTCCTAGTTAGCCAGGCTCCCTCGGGGCTAAAGCAGAAAAAAAAAAGACATGGGTGCACCGTGAAAGGTATGAGGGTGCTGGGGGGTCGTTTTACCCAAGTCCCAAATCCTCTCATACCAGAAAGAAACACGCACCATCTTTTAAAAAGAACAAAAAAAAAAAAAAAGAAAAAGAAAACTGTAGCATTTTTTATCAGGTAGGTGACCCTTTGAGGAGAG